GATTGTCATCTTCTCAGTTGTTGTAACTTGAAATATAATTCTCCTTAGAACTGTCACTTCTTTGAAACTGCTTTCTCCTTCTGCTGATAAAGACGTGTGCTAAAAAGTGCGTATTGGGAGTGTTGCACTTCTCTAACAACTTCAGTGGGATTTCTAGGTGACCACTTAAACTTTAGTTTATTGTGGCAGTATTGGTGCTGGGGGGGTCGGGGGGAAGAAAAACGACCCACAAAGAAAACCAGGACTGTGTCTGTTCTCTTGCAATTAAGCTTAATAACACAGGCTGACTGTGTACATTGCATACCACTTAGCCTTGTACCTCTCAGATTTCATTACTCTGGGTTTTTTTCTCTTCGGAGTTTATGAAATAATGTGAAAGTTGTATTGCAGCCCAGCAGAGCAGTGTTATCACGTCATGAAAGGAAGTTACGCACTGCAGAGTGTGTAGCACGAAACTGTTCTGGGATGCTTAAGGATCCGCAGGCTGTTTGAATAATGTTGAAGCACTGTGTAAAGTGGGAGGAGGCAAACCTGGTGCACTCTTGTCCATACCGCATGCTGGGAAGGGTCCCTGGTGTATGTTACAAACTCTGATTGTGGTTGGGTGTTATGTGAGAGAGTCCTAGTTGGCCCAGACCAATAAAATACCAGGGAGAGTGCTAAAATTTAGCAGTGTGAACAGTTGGTGTTCCAGGGGTCATACTCACTGCCCAGCCTTGTTTTGTTTAACAACCTGCCGCTGCAGGAGATAAAACGATAAACTGTTAGAAAGGAGCTGTGCTAATAATTTGTAACAAGTTGCATTTCAAGGAAGGGAAGCAATTAAAAATCGGATTCTTGAACAACTGGGAAGTCAGTGGAGTTTTTCATGCATATGGGGGAAATGATGATGGAGTTTTTTTCTGAGTGTAGGAAAGCAGAAGCAGCAGTCATCACCTTATATATATACTGAGAACATTAACTTCTTTTCATGCAAAATATGTATTCATTTGAAATTCCCTACTAATCACAGATATGTGAGTTTATTTCTGCTCTTGGGCTGTATCTAGAGCTCAATCTGCCACTGCTTTGGCAGCTGATGGGCAGACCAGCTGAAGGTTATTTTGTATTCTGTGGTGGTTTCCCTCTTTGAACCACTGAAGATTTTATCTCTGTCCTCCAGCAGTATTAGGGAAGTTGGGACTGACAGTCTAGCATAAAAAAAAAAAGGAGAGAGTGGCAAACAGGCAAGATATTATTAAAAAAAAAAAAAAAGCAAAGTTTTTTATGCAACATTACATAGCAGAAAGGTAAAACAGCTGCTTACTTTACCCCCTGATTATACCAATATATGTGTTGCAAATTAAAAGACATGCAGGCAATCTACCTCTTTGTAATCTGTGTTCCGTAAGATTTTTTGTTTGTTTTAGAAGTATTTTAAGATAGATTACTGAGATTGTTCATGTACCACATTCAATTAAAAGTAAAAGGCCATAGATGTATAAAAGAACAAGTGGGTCCAAATTTGTAAAATTAGACTTGGGACTTTTCTGTATATGTTAGGAAAAAAAAAATTAGGCTAGCAGAGCCTAGTAAGACTTCCATGGGCGTGCACAATCTGTAATTATGGCCTTAAGGCCACTGCTTGCTCTGCTTTAGGGGAGAGTTTTCTTTATACAATAAATGCAATCTGAATTCCAGTGATACCAAGCTTGATTTCTTCAATCAATTGACTCAGCTATAACACAGAACACTTTGCTCCCTATTCTAGTTGCAGAATAATGTGGAAACCATTTATTTCTTAACAATAAGATACTGAAAAAAAAAATCAGCATTGCTGAAAGTACCACAGTATATTTTTATGAGGTTTCACAAGCCCAGATTAAGGAATATGGAGAAGAGCTCAAGTTTAACAGAAAAATGAAAGAAATATTTCTGCATGTCATGTGCTATAGGTATATAGGAGTCATTTCCACAACCCTATATCAAAAGAAAATACTGATTTACTGTATGTCTTTTAATCACTTCTCTGTTGGGGTTCTTCTACAGGTTATTGAAAACACTTTTTTATTTTGTGTGTCTGTGTGTGTGTAGTATCTGGATACCTTGTAAGGAAAATAGTATGTTTTATTACAGGTATTTTATAATCTCTGTGCAAACATTATTTCCACAGCATGATGATCTTACTCGGTGTCAGACTTTTTCAGATTAAAGAATTATCTGTTCATCTCATTCTAATTTCAGTAGGGATCTGTAAATTGAATGAATATAAATGGCATTATAAGTGGCTGGTGTCATGCCTCTAAAGAGGAAGTTGGCGTGAATCTTGGGATTCAGGCATCAGAAGTATACCTTGACATGAACAAGCAGAAGAGGACTTCAAGGCCTAATGCAAATAAATAAAAAATAAATACCATATTTTGCACCCACTGCAAACAAGAAGAACAAAACCTAATGATTTTATAACAAACTCACCATGCTGGAGATTTCCAAGAAGATAAGTAGGAGAGGGGTGGAGAAGAAAAGATAATGAACTTCAATGCAGTGGAACCTGATGCTCAGTTCTTGGCTGAGCAGCAAGGGTGTTACTTCCCACCTCATATCTATTTCTTGTGTATTACCAAATATATTATGCTATGATTTTATAGTGATGTGGGGCTCTACTATCAGTTTTTCTCAGTACCGCTATCGGGTGATATGTAAAAGCAAAATGTTGAGAGAAGTGAGTTAAAATGAATGTTTTAAAATGTGGCACAGAGCTTGATAGAAGGTGTGGCATGAAGACTAGTCGCCTGGTAAACGGTTCATATCCAGTTAACAAAAACTTAACTCCTCCATTCAAATATTCATGTGGAAAGTAATCAGTCCTATGGTCTAAAATATGCTGTGCCAGCTGTATTGTTGCACTAGGTTTTCCCAACGTGTCACAGACTTCATTTTTCCATATATTATGATAAACATATTTAATGCCATAGCTACAGTGGTAAGGAAAGTGGTAAGTAAAAAGACGTTTTCTGGTTGGTTTGTAATAGGAAGACAAACCCGGCAGACATATTTTTTCACTTATCACCACTGTGTTGTTTGTTAAAAAACTCCGAACCTGCAACCCTGCAGTTTGGAAACTGTGTGACTGTTAATCATGGGCAAGCGGTATGAGAGGAGAGCTCTTTTCTTCCAATCTCTCATCCCATTTCTCAGTCCACATCTCTCTCTCTCCACAACTGCTCACGTCTCTGACTTCTCACCGTCTCCAATTTTGTTTGATTTATCTGTGGGCTCTTATTCAGGGGGCAGTACTTTTAAAGTAGTGACAACAAATTGAAATTAAATTTTACACACATGAAAATAAAATATAACTGTATTATCGTAGCATTTCTTCGCCTTAACTCTATACCTCTCTCTCTCTCCACAACTGCTCACGTCTCTGACTTCTCACCGTCTCCAATTTTGTTTGATTTATCTGTGGGCTCTTATTCAGGGGGCAGTACTTTTAAAGTAGTGACAACAAATTGAAATTAAATTTTACACACATGAAAATAAGATATAACTATGTATTATCGTAGCATTTCTTCGCCTTAACTCTCTTTATACCTCTTAATTTTTTGGACTTAAAGAGAAATGAGTGGCAGCTTACTATCCTAATTGGTGCCTATAAATGCTCTTGCAATGTGCGTGTAATAAGCATTAGTATTCTCATTGACTGTAATATATGCCAGATGGGCCTGTAGGTGGCATAATGATGACATAATCTTGCATCACTTTCTCTCCCCTTTCCTTACTTACCTTTAACTTCTACCAGTTTAGAACATGGTAGAAGTTTAGCCCCAGCCAGCAACTAAGCACCGTGCAGCCGCTTGCTCACTCCCCCTACCCCGGTGGGATGGGGGAGAGAATTGGAGGAGTAAGAGAAAGAAACACTCCTGGGTTGAGATAAGAACAGTTTAATAGTTGAAATAAAGTAAAATAGTAATGATAATAACAACAATATAATAATGATAACAGTAATAATAATAATATACAAAGCAAGTGATGCACAATGCAATTGCTCACCACCCGCCGACCGATACCCAGACAGTTCCCGAGCAGCGATCGCTGCTCCCTGGCCACCCCCCCCCCAGTTTCTATACTGAGCAAGCCATTACATGGTATGGAATAGCCCTTGGGGCAGTTTATGGAATAGCCCTTTGGTCAGTTTGGATCAACTATTCTGGCTGTGCCCCCTCCCAGTTTCTTGTGTACCAGGCGGAGCATGGGAAGCTGAAAAGTCCTTGACTAGCATAAGCAGTACTCAGCAACAACTAAAACATCAGCGTGTTACCAACATTCTTCTCCTACTAAATCCAAGACACAGCCCTATGCCAGCTACTAGGAAGAAAATTAACTCTACCCCAGCCAAAGCCAGGACAGACATTTAATATCTGTTCTCTTCCCTTTCTCTTCCCTTCCTCCGTCCCTCTTCTCTTGACCTTCTTCCACTTGACCTCCCCAGAGCATGAGTCTTTGGCCACTGTCCTTTCAGTTGTTTTCTGAAAGCTCAGTTATCTATAAAACCTATCACAAACAGTAAGACATGAAAGTCTTATTTTAACTTTTACTAAAGACCTTTTAATATTCTCTCAGAATCAAGAGGATTTTATGTGGTGGATGAATTCCACAACAGATATTCTCAGAATTCCAGGTATTCACATATACAAGTGTGCATATACTACCAACAGCATAACATGGAATTAAATCACTAGCAAACTGGGCTCAAAATGTTTGTCAAAGTTCATTTAGAGTCTAAGACAGGTACATGAGCTTCAATAATCTTATTTATGTAATGCTAATTACTTTCCTCTGCCTCCTCTTTTTCCTCTGTTGGCCACAAATGCTTCCTATCAAGTTTTAATTCTAGATTGTGCATTTTCTAGGACTGTCTAATTTTAAGATGCCCTGTACGTCTGCTCAATGGGAAACAAACAGTCAATGACATTTTTAATTTTTTGCTTCATTAAAATGATACTCTGATTTTGGTATTGTAGATAATACAGCCAGTATCCTGACAAGACGACGGAGATACAGTCGAACCACTCAAGACATCTATTACCTCCCGGTTTTGATTTCTGATGGTGGAGTGCCCCCTCTCAGCAGCAGCAGTACTCTCACAATTAGGGTTTGCGCGTGTGAGAGAGATGGACGAGTGAGAACTTGCCATTCTGAAGCTTTCCTCTCCTCGGCTGGCTTAAGCACAGGAGCTTTAATCGCAATACTGCTCTGTGTTGTCATTCTTCTTGGTAAGCCATTTTCAATATTGAGTAATGTTATCCTTCCACTGGTTCTCTGAATCTGACAGGGCAGAAATTTTTAATACGATATGTTTTTGAACCAGAGGCTGCCTGGTAGTAGGAGGTAATTAGAAACACATAGCTGTGATTAGGGGGGAAAGGTTTAGCTAAAATAAATAGGGACAATACTTTAAAGTACATTCATGAATATCTGGAATCCACTAGAAATTGTTTTTCAGAGGTTATCAAGTAATTAGCACTGCAGATCTTTTTTCTGTAATTTGGAAAGATTTCAAAAGATTTCAAAAAGCCACTGACTCTTAATTCCATGTCTAGAACAGTGTGAAAAATGGTAGAAAAGAGATGAGGAAAGCTTTTTGAAATGCATTACACTGTAAGAAGCGCCATTAGCACTGTACAAAAGCCATTTCTTAATTACCTTTGTGGGATAAGCTGATAGCAATACACAACATAATCCACAGGGGCAAGGGACATATGAGACTTTAAGATGACTCCATTAGATAAATGCCCTTGCAAGTGCATTTTCTCTTGACTTGTTTTTTTGCCCAGACCAGTTTGAATGTTACCCATTAGTTAATATTCTTTTTTTTTTTCCTGGCAGAGGCACAACTTGCTGGGTACGTATCTCTGTACTACTCATATGCCTTTCTGCATTCTTAGAGAGACAGAAAGAAATAATGAGAATTGCACTGTGACCCACATAGGAGATTTTGAGGATTTTTTTTTTTTTCTTTTTCCCAAGGCTCTACATTTTCTAAAGACTACTCTTCTCACAGGTTACTTCAGAACTACCTTGTCAGAAAGCTGTTTTAAAATGTATAGTAATGCATTTAGTTTATAATCTTACGTTTTATCATCCAAGATTGAATATTCATAAGAGAAAAAATAAGCCATTTTAATTCAATATATATGCTAAATGTCGGTTTTAATGAAGCACTGAAAGCCTTTAACAATGCTTCTGAAAAATGTCAGCCTTAGTTACTCATTTCTCATTTAACTGAAAGTATGTTATCCTCTTTTATCTTCTTCATGAGATCCCTGATAATCTAACTAGTGGATTTCATTATCAGCTCAAGAAACCTCAGCGATCCCCACAAAGAAAATATACAGTACAAGAGTGCTCTTTACTGGCCCTTTGGAAGATGAGGCTGTATCAGGAGTTTGTAGTTTCGGTACAGCGTTATTAATTTTCCCCTTAATTGTGTGGTCTCAGCCTGTTGCACTTTGGCATGTTGCTATGTCAAAACACAGCTGTATGGATTTCATGGGGGCTTTCCAGTCATACAGTAATCTATCTTTGGCTCTGTTTTGGGGCCAGCCTTGTTTAATATCTTTATCG